GATTGTCTGAGACCTTTGGGCACTACACCTAACAAAACTGCTCCCAAAGAGCTAAATAGAGAGTTTATTTGTAGCAGAAGGATTCAAAATACAGTTAAATTTGAGGTAACTGTAGATACTGTGGGTTCACTGTATAAACTGCCTACAAGGATAGCAGAAATTGCTACAGGTAATAGAAGATCAGGTAGTTTCAGCCAGTTCATAGTGGCTTAAACATAACTAAACAGGAGAAACATAGAGGCAGGTGCTCACTGGAGTTCATTCAATGATGTCAGAGTGATCTCTGCAGTTCTCTTAGCTTTTCCCTCTTGTATTGTGCTAAGCTTCTTGCATGCATCATTTCAATCACTTGACCCTATAAACAGGCAGCACAGTTTTCTCCGTTTATCAGGCTTAAATATATGCCCAGTATCACCCAGCAAAAATGTGAAAGAGTTATACATAGAAGTGGATGAGACTAGGAGAGCGTGGTTTAATGTCAGCTTAGGAAAAAGTGTACACCTCAAAAGATAATGGGATCAAAGAGGATAGCAAATGTTTATTGAACACCTAGGATGATATAGGCACTGCACCATACCTTACTTACATTATCAAAATTAATCTACTCAACAACTTTATGAAACCTGTAATATTATTATCATTTCCTTTTATAGATGATTAAATGGAGGCACAAAGATTTTTTTTTTTAACTTACCTAAATGCAGAACTTGTATTTTACAGAAAAAAACTTTGGATTATGGCAGTTTAACTCTTGAGGCTGCTTAACCACAATGCTATGCCTTATAACAGTATAAATACTGCAAAAAGGTCAAGGCTGAGGATGGAGAAAAAGTCTTTGGGTTTAGCAATTAGGCTATCATTAGTTAACCTTTAGAGTGCAATTTCATTACAGTGGTAGGGGTAGAAGCAAGCCATACAGCAGTAGTGAGAAAGAGCAAGCACCAAGTATACTTGTAGACTATTTTGAAAATCTTGACATTGAAAGGAAGATAAAAGAAGGGACTGAGCTAAAAAAAGTTTATGTATATGTATACGAGGTCAGGCAATTAAGTTCATGAACTCATCCGAGAAAAAGTGCTACATACCTCATTGCTGAATATCACTACAGTCACCTTCAAAGTACTCCCCTTGGGAAGCTATGCACCAATGCCAGCGCCTAATCCACCCTTTAAAGCAATTTTGGAACTCTTTCTGGAATGGCCGTCAGAGCTGTTGTTATATTACCCTTGATGTCCTGAATGTCATCAAAATGTCTTCATTTCAATATTTCCTTTATCTTTAGGTAAAGAAAGAAGTCATTGGGGGCCAGATAAGGTGAGTAGGGAGGGCGTTCCAATATAGTTATTTGTTTACTGGCTAAAAACTCCCTCACAGACAGTGCTGTGTAGGCAGGTGCATTGTCATGATGCAAGAGCTATGAATTGTTGGCGAAAAGGTCGTCTAACTTTTTCTTTTGAGCTCCCAGGAAAAGTTAACCACTTGGATATAAGAGTTGGAGGCTGCAATATATAGATGATATATTATAGAATTGTACACTTGAAAACTATATAATTTTACTAACCAATGTCATCCCAATAAATTTAATAAAAATTAATAATAAGAAAAAGAGTACAAGGAGAACCATATCAGGGGAAAAGTCATTCTTTCTCAGATTAGGAGAAAGGAAGAAGAGTGAAGCCATAAAGAAATCCTGGGCTGGGGAATTGAGCAAGATCAGTTTCCTGAGTAAAGAACATAGGTAAAAGTAGGAAATACTTTGAAAAGGCAGAGTGGATAATTGGGAGGGAAATCATTTAGACCTGGAAGTTGGCAGCAAGTCTAGATCTTGCCTGCAAGGCTAGATCATATTGGAATTGGAGCAGATAGAGATGGTCTCGTAAAGTCCTAGGGTTAAGGTGAACAGTCTGTGGAAATTAGTGTTGTTATGTTGAACATGAGTTGCCTACTGAGAGAGGTATAGCAGAAATAGATGTGGAGGTCTAGTGCTTGATGAAGAGGTTGGAATCAGAAATGGGAATCATCTTCGGTGTTACAAAGACTATTGTGTTTCAAATCCCCAAGCTGACTTATTAAGTGCACACTTCTTAAGGACAATAGCTATCCATAGTGCTTTCCTTCAGGGGCCTTATAATCTAGTAGGGAAACATAGAAACAAATCATTAAAATATGTTGAGATAACTTCTTTAATTGAGACTGTGAAACTGGAAGATGGTATTAAACCTGCTTCGGGGTGGGAAGGAGATCAGTGAAGAAGTCATAGAGATGGAGATATTGTAGGACAAGACAAGTAGAGGGACCAGCAGGAAGAGACCCAGAGGCTTGAGTGAGCAGGCACACTGGGGAATGACATATCTTTCAGTATCCCTGAGATGTAGGGTGTATGGTCAGTGGCAGGGGATAAGATTGAAAAGGTAGGAAGGAATAAAAATGAAGGCTTTTGAATGCCTATCTTTGCCTACCATGGTTTCAAGCTTGTTAAGACTTTAAGCTAGGGAATGACATGATCAGATTTGCATTTTAGAAAATATCCTGGAAAAAANGCTGAGGAGTTGGGGTCTGGCTCCGAGAAATTAATTGCTGGCAACCGCTCACGGGGTAGCTGACTCGGGGTTCCCCAACATTAGTGTGCAAGCGTCAATCCTCCGAGGAAATCCTCTCAGGCGGTTAACTTTCCCGAAATATTCTTTCCAAGACGACAAGGTGTTTCAGCGACGCCGGGGACTGGGCGCAGCACCACCACGGGAGCTTTACTTTGGCCAGGGCCCACCCCAAACCATCTCACCTCGGGCGTCCTTCCTCTGGTTGGCTCCACAGCGGACACAGGAGAGGGCAGAAATATCGAAATACTGGTTGTGGCCGCACGAGTCCGGCTGCCGGAAAGGGAACGAGAAAGTCTGGGCCCGTGAGAAGCGAGGGAGGACCACTAGGAGAAATACAGTCACAACCGCGACCGAAAGGGTGGACCGACACGCCATTGCCACCCCTGCCCCACCGCCGCCCGTTACCATGGTGCAGACGCCGGCTGCCGCGCAGTCTCCCGACGCCCCATCAGCCTCTGCGGCGACTCCGCAGAGCCGATTGGACAACTCCGGCCTGGGGTCCGGAAGTGCCTCCCAACGCTGCTTGAGGGCTAGATTACTAAAGCCGCGGAAAGGTGCTGGTCAGGAAAAGGAAGGGTTACAGGCAAGCTAACCCTGGAGCCTGGCAGGCGCAACCCGCTATTTAAAACATTTGTTTCAAGCTCTGGGACGCGGCGACCCATTAGCGGGAAGTGAAATCAATTAGGAGGTCGTGAAATAAAAGACCACAGGAAAGAAAATATCAGATTGTATGGCACAAATTAAGAGTAAGTATTGTTTCATTAAACTGTTAAATGATATTTACATCAGAATTTATCCAGGCTGGGTCATTTCCGTGTTAAAGTAGACAGTCCAACAATGTATTTGTCAAAATACATTTGTCAGAAAAGTAGGCAAAACACTGATATGCAATGCTGGAAGACTAGCTCAAAAACTTAAAAAAAGGTATTTCTTTCCAGATCTTTCTTTGTGTTTCTGCTTTCCTTATTTTGAGCATAGAAAATCATGTACATAAAATGAGATCACCCTTAACCTAGTTGTGAATAAAGAAGATACC